TGAACTACATGTGCCACTAGGAAACTTCACTAAGATATCCTGGTTATGAGCCTGTAACTAAGTCATCACTGCTGCAGAAACATCATAATTCACAAATCACTGCCATTTCAGGGCCAAAGCAATGAAAGTTTCAGGGTATCAAGTCACGACTGCTGGAACACATCCCACTCATACTGCTGGAACCACCAGCCCTGATAAATCTGTATCGGTGTTTTGCGATTTGCATGCAGAAAACAAATCACATTTCTCACATCTATGTTTGTCCAGCTTTCCAATGTCACTACCATTTTGGTCTGGATGTTACTAGTGCATACACAGACTTAGCGCAATCTTCCTGCTGTTCAAATATTTGCATCCTTCCAACAACTGCCAGCAAAACACTTCTACTTGTGTGCCTGTCTGTAGTTTTCTTTTTTGTAACAACCCTCACATTATTCATAACTGGTGTTATTTTCCAAAAGAATAAATTACTCAGAAATAAAAGTACTGTAAGTGTAATAACCAAATATATTTCATACACTGTCCATCCAATCTGAATATTAGTTTCTAAAACAATGAAAATCCTTACTTAGAGACCAACGTCAACTACCATTTCTTCGAAACGTCCGTGAATTCCCCATCTGGACTATCATATCCTTTGATCGGAGGTGTTTGAACTGGTCCACGAACAATGAAAGGAATCTGTGTAGGATTGATCTATAACAAAAACCATAACTGGACTGAGGCCTTCTGGGTTGGTGTGCCATGCAGTCCTTTGGTTGTATACAAACATTTTGGAAGAATATGCTGCCTCAGTCTTCAAGGCTGAAGTGATGCTATATGACTAGGAAGTTTCGAAAACAATAAAATAATGTGCCAAACACTCACTAAAATATACAAATCCACATAACAAAGTTATTTTGCATGAAATTACAGGATGTCCATCATTACAGTTTTAATCAAATAAGTTCTTGTCTTTTGACAATACTTACAGGAAGGGCATGAATTAGGGACAACATAAAATACAGGATTGTTTAACACATCTCCTCAGTACTGTCGATAGTTGAAAAAAAGGATGTATTTCATTATGCTGACAGCCAAATTACCTGAATTGCAGCCTCATACAACTCCTCTGATTCCTGATGAAGCTCGTCAAGAGCTTTCTGTTGTGCAAATATAAGTCTGTCAATCATCTGCGTGTCCTTCAAGTGCTGTTTTTGCTTGTAAGTAGCCCATTTCTTAAGTAATACTGCACGCTCATCTTCCATTTCAGGTGTCAAGGTTGGTACTTCCCTTTCTCGCTCTCTAAAAGGAAGTGTTCAACCATCAGGTATCTTAAAGTTGTAATATACACACACACATAGTCATAATAGCCAGATTCAGACTACAAGGAATTTTAGAGTATTTATACACACACAGTGACCTAAGTCCAATTATAATGTGTTACACACTGACATTCATGCCAACCTTTTGGGTCTATCAATTCCAATTGTTTTAATGTGTGACACCACACTAGATAAAATTAATTCCATGCTCAAACGGCTGATTTCTCAAGAATACGTTATTGCATTCATTCACTGTGATAGCTTGCAATGTGTTACATTTTGTAGAACACAACTTACTTTTTTCTATCCATGAATTCCAATGGGACTTCAAGTTCATCTATAGGTTTCAGCTGCCTAGCATTCTTTTCAAGACGACGGATCTGCTTTTCCAGTCTTTTCTTCTTTCTTTCTTCTCTATGCTTTATAACAGCAGGATCTATTCGTTTCTTCTTCTTCAAAGGTTCTGCACTACAGTAAAGAATAACAATAAATAAAGATCAAAGTAATAATGTTTCTTTCAGCACTTGTTATCTGTATTGTCTTGCATACATCACAGATAAATTAAGCATGAGAAAATACATATGTATGCTATGTTCTGACACTCATATTAAACATAAATGTTTTCCATAAGACTAGAGGCCATAGTATAAATTCCTTTCTTTCTGTATGACTTACCTGTACGATGCATAAAAGCAATTTGTGAGAGGCATCACTACTATATAGTACATCCAAGAGATCTTAATTAAAATGATTTATACCTGTTTTAACATATTATCAAATGTGTGTTGATATAATGAATTTAAATTAAAGAAACTGTACTTACTACAGGCATGTAGTAGCTTTAAATAAAAGTGGATTGATACTGGTGCTGATTAATCTTGTAGAAGTGATATGACTTCTGACATCAGAAATACAAAGCCTGGAAAACGAAAGGATAGTTAATTAAGAGTAGAAAAATTAATGTTTCAAGATTTTTAAAAATATGAGATATGACATGTCAGTCAGCAATGACCGACTATGGTTCGATAACCAAAGTCCAATTCCTCACATGGATTATGATCCTTCTCTTCATCATAATGTCCAAACAGCTCTGAAGATCACCTAGCCTGCATCAAATGTATACTATGGTCACCTTTCCTGAGGGTAGAGCAGCTTCTAGAGTAACATGTTGGTAACTTGCACTAGACAAAAGCTTGACCTCCAAACTCAGACATATGTTCAAGGCACTGTACTTAGCACTTCACAGACTGAGAGATAAAGAGGCAGTTTTACTCATCCACTCACCAATACTACTTGTGCTGAAATACATGGGGCAACCTTTTATTATTTTCAAACATAACCTAAAATAAACAGTAATACACTAACCTAGAAAGTGCTGTAATCAGTCCTGCTCGAATCATTGCCTTCTGCTTATGGCACCGCTTTGTAGTTTCGAATTTGTCGTTTCAATCAATAATGCACATTAAGCGAAGAGATAAGTTCTTTTGTACATTTAACTCGTAAGCAACTACCGACAAATTCCATACAAAATGCCTCAACGTCAAGACCTTCGAACATATCAGAAATTTTCCATACAACGTTTCACGGTAAAACAAGGAACCATGGACTACAAACTACTCGACGTTATCAACTCTCTCACGAGATGTCGACGTAGGTCTAGGTTACGACAGAACTGAGAGCCCGAGTGATTATCAGCGGAACCAGTGATGCTGAAGATCACTTGTCCGGAATTGTATTATACTACGTAGATTTGACATTTTACGAAAACAAAGTTGTCTTCTCATGATCACTAAATTCTTGGAATATGTCCATCGGCTGAGTTTTTAAAATGAACACTACGTTTCGGAAGCTGGACCTACCGTCCACAGGTTAAAAATCGGTTGGGGAGGGGGACATTATTCAGTTGGATCCGATAGAAAGGGTTTCATTCAACTGGACAACGTAGTATTCTTTTTGAAAAAACAGACGATAGACGTAGTTCAAGAATTTAGTGATTCCGATTGTAACACACCATCGTCAGTGCCGTTTAAAATCGAAAGTGTCCCAAGTCCCATGCTAATTATACGTTTTAATTAACTTGAAGACTTACCCTACCTGTTCATTCTATTATCTATTATACGGCGCTATTTGTTCAAAATATGCGGCAATTGGACACAGTAATTATGATGATTATTATTATTTTATTTATTCACCATTATTATTATGTTTTTTGTGTATTAACTTTCTCCACAGTCATATAACTTGATTGTTGTTATTTTCTTATATTCATTATTTTGTTCTTCTCTTGTGCTGTATCTGTAATTGGCCTTCTGGCTGTTTTTGCACCATACTAATAGTAAAGAACTGAATTATTGGCCTAATGAAGGACAGGAATGGGATTTGGCCAAGTGTTGTGACCGAGGGTAAGCACAAAGTTACATGTCAACAGGCAAAGCATGAAGATCATTGGACTGTTGACCGAAGAATATAACTTCACTTTTCTTAAGCCGAAACACTTTCTTTTGTTTCATTCATTATGTTTCACGTAAAGGACGTCGCGTTTATTGTAGCAGACAATACTGTCGTGTTGGAGACAACACGACCCCAAGCCTTCCTCTGGTTCCTTCTCGACTTTATAAGTCACGACGCTGATAATTAAAACCTTCATTCACCGTGACATTTTATACCTGCACCAAAGAAACGCTACACAGCCTAATTTAATGTACAATTCACACAAAAACACAAAGCGGAGTTCTTTACTCTACAATTATTTGAGGAACTCGGGCGTTATTTTCTGCTCCGTAGTTACGAACTAAGGGGGAGAGACGGTGCGAAGTAATTGCTAATATCCTGCGCTACTTCACCATTATGCACACTGAAATGCAACGCCGCTGTTTTTAACTGCTAATTCGATCCAGAGCAACTTTTGAGGAATTCTTCTCTAAAAATTTTCTTCTTTTTACGCCTCATTTTATGCGCGTTTTATGTTTAATATTACTAATTTTCTGGGGTATATTATACGGGACAGTTTCGGTACTAGACTAATAAGCTAATCACTAGACTCGAGTAATTAGTGTTTAAAATGTCCCAGACTGAGGCTAAAAATAAAGTAATACAAATCGACAGCAGCAAATCAAATCTCAAAACATAATGTAGACCTATATCACATATATCTCAGACAATGAACAATGCCCAGCAAAATAATAGACCTACTGATATAATTAGTCAACTGAGCATAGACTAGTATAGAACCCAAATGTTGCCTCTTTACAAATTTACAACATTTTTCGTTCGTGAATTACTCCGACATTTTTTTAAATTTTGCGCAGTGGCCACGCGCTCTGAGGCACGGTCCTCGTGCGCCTGGCCGCTGCGACCATGGGTTCGAGTCCCACTCAAGGCATGCATGTTTGTCCGCGTCTCCTCTTCCAGTCTGGCCACGGAAGGCAAGGCGATACCACCGTGGTACTTTCGCAAGAAAACCCCGAAAGGGGTCACGACGGTCAAACTTGACCATAGATATAAAAAAATTCCTTAATTTCTACAGCCCAAAAGTTGACCGTTGGACATTCTAACGCAGCAAAGGCGAGCCAAAAGTCGTATGTACAGTTTTGTTTGAAAGTAATATTTTATAAAAACAATAATAAAAGGACCAATGAAAAGTTTATTTACGTGTTGATATTTATGGGCGACAATGAACAAGGTTGTTTTACACTCTTCCAGCTCAGTTCGTAATCAGCCTGTAATGTCCCATTCAACGCTTTATACCGTCTGGAGTTATTAAAAGTTCAAATATAAAGGGAAATAATGAAAATTACTTAATGACCTAAAACATTCACTTCTGTCCATCGTCGCGGAATATTTATACAAAACATACACACTTAAATATTTCCAACGCAATTAATACTACGGAGCTGATTCTTTATTAAGATGATAATCGCACAGCTAATCAAGGAATTGTATTTTATTTTATAGAACACCAAGGTTCATTACTGTGTTCACAAGTCATAATAAATATTCTGAACCAGATGAATCCATTTCATGCTGTACCCAATTTCTTTAGAAAAATTTCAGTGCTCTTTAACAACATTTTTTACGTTGGGAATATTCAAACCACCAAACAGTTTTAAACAATTCTTGGCATGACCTAGACATGTTATACATATCAATGCTGAGGTCGATTTAAGTCAGATGACATCTCGACAGTCCTGGCGCTTATCATGTTAGAGTGTATTGTTTACATGAAATTACCTCGACGTTAAATTGTCAGAAATAAACGGGTCAGTGGGCACAAGTTCATGTTTGGATGACAATACTGCTGCATCATCCGAAAGAATATCCCTGACACATACAATACAAGGACATTTCATTCATTGTTGGGCGACAGTTGAACATCAAGCTCTACTAACTGTGTTATTGTTCGAGTTAAGTACATCTAAAATAATGTAATAATAATATTCGTCCGGCATCAAAACTGTGAATGCGTGGCCTTTCGACGCTTTCTTATGTGCCCTAGCTTAAAAATCCAAAAGCCTAGAACAATGAAAGTACAATTTTACTTAATGCCCTGTATTTACGTGAAGCGCATTCTTTCTCTCGATTTAACAGAAGAGAGTTTCAGAACAAAATGATGAGGAATATTTGGACCCAAGAAAGATAAAACAACAAAATATTTAAGTCACCTTCTTAATTTATAAATATAAAATGTGCCAAACGCGTTTCGACCTCAATATACCAATTCCTATGCAACCAACAGCCAGTGAAGTGTTACTAAATATGGTTTTATACAGAACTTACCTTTATGCTCTGCTAAAACCATGATCTTTTGATTTATATTCTATGAATTAACTTGTTTTTGTGCCACTGATGATGACCTCTTGAGGTCGAAACGCTTTGGCATTAGTACCTACATAGTGTAAATAGTTGTTTGTATGCACATTTCATATTTACAATATACAACATTAAGATTCTTAATTTATGATGTCTGATATTATTAATATGGTTAAATAAAAGGGAATAAGATGAGCGGAAATGTAGCATGAATGGGAAAGGAGAAATATATACAAAATTGTGGTCGGAAATGTTGAAGAGAACACGTAACATCTCTGTTTAGTTGGACGGGCAATATCAACACGGATTTTAGAGAAAGACAGTGAACAGCGGTAGGCTTTTGTGTACACGTAAATGAAGTTCCAGATGCTATGAAAGATAACAATGGTATCCAAAGTAATTATCGTCACGTCGTGTTTCAAGGTAACTGTCGCAATAATGTCACTGCTGTAACATTATGTTACATCATAATAAAAACGCGCATTGCCCGTCAGAATGAAACAACAAGAATATAACAAATTTTACTACTCAAGAGTAACTCTTCGTTACAAGAAGAACACCAATATTTTCAAATATGTCCATCAAGTTTTAAAATATCCTACAATGAAGAAGTGGTACGTAACAGAATTGTAATTAGTGCCATATATTACGTCTGAAAGGTAATATTAAATACTTATATCGTGTCCTTCGTGTATAAAACACATTGGTGAAAGCATCTATGAACTGCTTGCTTCGGTGAGGAACGTACATAAGGTTACAAATCTAAAGAAAATCGATTGTTGGTGTCAGAATTGCTGGTTTGGGGTCCCCACTAATGACACGATTGCCAGACGAAACGTGCTGCAGAGATCTTGCGTCTGACGAGAACTCAAATGCAGGACGACACCAGGTACACTCCTATCTTTAAAATATCGGGGTGGAGTTTTGAAACTGAGGTCAGAAGTGAAACCTCATTACGTTTCAGCAGAATATGATATTCATAAGGAAACATGGCGAAAGAAAACCTCGAGAATATTCATAAAATTACGAACGGATACAAAATGTTAGCCACGTGTAACTTTCACAGCGCAATTACTTCTGCAGGTGGAATGGTGTTGCACAATCTGTAGTTTCCGTCTGTTATTAATCCATAGGATTTGGTTTCCTTCCATCAGATTACTGCTTTTTTTCCGTTCTTCCTTGACCTCTTGCATCAAGTCATCCAACGTGACAGCTCAGTGTCGGCTGCCTGTCTCTTAATTTGACCGGCAGACTGATGCCAGTACTTAGGTTACCATTTGTATTATTACTTTGCACGAACCGTTGTCTTGTCCAGAAATGAATTGTACTTCCTCTGTCAAATGAAATTTTCATATCTGACGCACAATCTTAGTTTGTTATCATGTTTCGTCTGTCTGTCATAGACATCTTCAAGGGTCCACGTCATAACTTTTCCAACCAGTCTCTACATTTTCAAATATTGTACATTTTAGACATATTAATAAAATAACTTATACTAGCTTTCATTTTTGGAAATTATGAAAAATTTCGCTTTTTCTTTAGTGCTTTTGATTACGTTGTCCGCTGTTTTACCTCTCTGTCTGCATCACATGCCGGCGTACATTTCCTCCTATGTTCCCGATTTAGAATCGTATCACACGTTTCTAGGTAATCCTATTGAATATGCGTTCCAATCCCCAACTTCACGTTTATTTTTCCATAAAGTATTCCTTTAAAGTACTTTTCCTAATTTTTTAATATCTTTGTTGTCATTTTCGTTATTTTAGTCAGTATAGTGACTAGCTACGGGCTGGACGACCGGGGTTCGATCCACGACGGGAGCAGAGGATTTTTCCTCTAGCCTCTGCGTCCAGACCGGCTCTGGGGCCCACCCAGCCTCCTCTACAATGGGTACCGGGGTCCTTTCCCGGGGGTAAAGCCGGCCGGGGCGTGATGCTGACCACTCACCCCCATCTAGTGCCGAGGTCAAGGAAGAGAGGAGCTATACCTCCACTCCCCCCAAACGCCTACATGGCGTATAGTGGGACAAACTTTACTTACTTCACTATAGTACTCCTCCTTGTCTTTTATATAATCCCTATACTGTGACTGTCTGCTTCTACGCGTGTCTTTGCTGTCTACTTTATTTCAAGTTGTATAGCTTCTACAAATATTGCATTTCCTACTTAGTATCTCTCGATACGATTACTTATCTCCATCGAATTATATCGCACCCACGGCCTGCCCTATATAAGGTCTTCTGAACTAACCCCACCTCATACCCACCTTGAAAATGACAACTGCAGTGTTTGCTGAATCCTTGGCTAACACCAAACTTTAGACGTGGTTCCCACTCGAAAACCTGACTTCCTGTTTGGTGCACCTTCTGAGGTCTTTCTAACGAGTGAGTGAGTTCATGTCAGGTCATAGTTTGCCGCTGACGGATACCAACTACATGACTATATACAAACTATTTCATACTCTAGTTTAACGACTTGACGGAACTCCGCACTAACTAAGAAGACGCGATCATTAACACGGCAGTTCATTGCTAACCTTCCATGTGAGATATATTAATTACGTTATAACGCGCTTTGTTGCAGTTTATAATGCTATGTTATGGTCGTATCGTGCAGTGATACAATCTGTAATTAACGTGTATGGTCCGTCCATTACTTCTTTCCAGTTACAGCTGCAATGAAAGAGCGAAACACGTAAAGTGTCTGTAACGACAGACTATGAAAACCACACGCCTAGAGCACTCAGGACTTGCAGCAAATATATCCAACCAAATATTATGGCTGTAAAGATAAGCCAAAGAGTTATAAGCGTATTATTTCTCATGCAGGGAAATATCTTGTAGACCGTATCCCGGTTTCTCAATAGCGAAAGTTGTCAGTGAATTCATCAACAAACAGAAAACTTCATAATTAAACCAAGGTCATAAACTAAAAGCTTAAAACACTTGATTTTCATAAATGAATTTCAAAACATGGTTATTAAACAGAAACTGTCCGTTCCAGACGCTTTGTATGGCCTGGTATTACATCTAAGGAACCTTTCCGCTTGATATATCATCAGAAAACAACTCTGGAACGGGATGCAGCACCAAGAACAAGACATCAGCCTACCCTCTGGTGGGTTAACGAAACAATTCCACGGTTCAGGATTACCCTTGTAGAAGATATTTCAATAACCATGACCTCAGAAGACACAGTGAAACTGCCATAAAACTCATTGCCCCAAATGTGGTTAAATTTATTTAGTAATCTGTTTTCTAGATTCATAGCCAGGCCAGTGAGCTAGCTTAAGTACATGTTCAGTGTTAGTCTAACAGCCGGACAACGTCCTCATTAATTATTTCTGTACATTTTGAAGATTATCTTGGAGGGAGGGGGGGATGCCGGACGTCGCTGGCG